GGATGGTACGCGGGACGGGAGGGTTCTGAAAATTGGGTGAGGAGGGAGAGGGTGCGGCAGACAAGCGGAGAAAGGGGCAGGGCGAGAAATGAGGGGAGGATGGGGGGGAAAGGAACGGAAATGAGACGGAGCCGAGGGGAAAGAGGGGGGGGGAGGGAGGAAAGGGGGGGGCGAGAGGGGAGGAAGGAGGGGAAAAGAGGGAGGAGGAGGGAGGAAGGCGGACAGGGATATCCAACAATAGGGCTGGCAACTCACGGGAGGTCCAGTGGATTTTCGGAGGACAACGAGCAATGACTCGAGGAGAACGACGAGGAACAAACGAGAAACGAAGAGGGAAAGCATGCCGGCTCGCGTGAACACAAGAACCCCCCAATGTGGTACCACTTGGGGAAAAGGCTTGATCGAAACATATACGCGTTCCGCGGACCGGAGATGTGCGAGCACAGACAATATTTTCAAGCGTGGACCCCAAACGACGAATGTATTCACAATGGGCGTTTCAGCTATGCGTTGCACGCTATGTGGTGTACATGGTAAGCTGCACTATGTAATGCAAGCTGCAGCGCCGCAACCTACGTAGTGTACGCTACTCCGTTCGAGCTATGTTGTGCACAGTCACGCGGTGCAAGCTACGCGGTGAAATATATATATATATATATATATATATATATATATATATATATGCGGCGCGCATTACTTGGTGTCTGCTGTGGGGCATCTGCAGCGCAAGCCGTGTGGCAGAAACGGTGGCGTTGCAACCTGTGTGGTGCCAGTGGGCATCAATATCGGCCGAGCAGCCAACGCGCAGGGCACCCACGAGGCACCCGCGGGCGTAGCCCAAGCGAGATTGCGGCGGACCCGCCGAGCGCACGAGGACCCCACGAGGCGCCCCAGGGCGGGTACCGGGCGAAACCTCAGCTGGCCCACCTGGCGCACGAGGCGCCCACGCGGCGCCCGCGGGCGGGCACACCGGGCGAGGCCTCGGCGGATCCGCCCAGCACGCGGCGCTGACGAGACGCCTACGGGCAGGCACCAGGCACAGCCTCGGCTGACCCACCGCACGCGAGGCGCCCACGGGCGCCAGCCAACTGGGCGGCAGGTAAGACGCCAGCGGACCATCCAATGATTGAACCGCCGACATCTGCACGAACCCCTACTTGCAAGCTTTCTGTGTCCGGACAGAACACCTGCGCGACACAACCCCCGAGGGGAGGTGCCCAAGGTGACTGCATGAGTTCACATGCGTTCGGACCTCGCAACATGAACGGCGTCAAAAACCCGCCCCAAGCGTCACATCTGCGCCGCCGTTGCCGGGATGCCACCCCGAGACACGGCCACCAGCACTTCCTCCACTTGGCCGCCGGCCTCAAGCAGCGGAAACGCCGCTGCCCAAGGACTGAAGTCCCCGCGTCTCCCATGTCGGGGGACCCCTTCGAGTAACCCCATCGGGCCTCTCAGGGGTGGTACGGCGGGCCCGCACCAACTGCGGCTGGCCAACCCCTCTTCCCCCCGAGTTACACTTCGATGTCCCCTCGAAAACCCAAGGGGAAGCCTTCGGCCAAGTGCAAAACAACTGAGGAACACTGAGCCCCTCCCAAACGAAAAAGTTTCCTTTCGTCAGCGCCCCGACTGTATGTCCCGGCCTGTTGATCCGACGCAGCGAATTCTGGGGCGGGATGCGCCTCAGGGCTGAACCTAAACGGTGCTTTTCGTTTCCGTTTTGTTTTCGCTTCCCCTCGTTTTTTGTCTCCGACCCGCCTTTGCCGCAGAACGAAATCGAAACGAGAACGGCCCACGATATCGCCAAAACACCGTTTAGGTCCAGCCCCGATGCGCCTCTAGTTATGTCGGGCGTGTCCCCCATACAGGGGGATGTTCGACGAAAAAGCTAAAACACCCAAACAAATTACCCCCAAAAGGTCAAACATACTAAAAAAATAGTCCCCCGACTATTGTTTGCCTATTTTTGTTACTACCTTTGGGGCATTTCTTACTTTTCGGAAATGCCCCTGCAGGGGGACAGGCCCGACTTACGCCTACAGATCCGTTGCCACCAAGAACCTGTGCAGGTGGGCGGTCAGGACCGGGGCCCCCCCGACGCCGCGCTCTTCTGCACGACGTCGGCCCCCCGAGCCTCCGGAGAAGGGGTCCAGACCTCGGGGGGCAGAGGCCAGGGCCCCCTCCCCCGGGGCCAATCTCTCCTCCTGCGTCGCCTCAGACGGCCCCGAGGCCCGGTGAGGGCCCCCCCCCCGTGGCCGAAAGGAGCGAAGAGCCTCCTGCCGCGCATTTGGCCTCGACGCGGGGGGGGATCCGTCTCTGCCAAGCCCTTTGCGGGTGGGTGGGTGTTGCGGAAAGGGGTCCAGGCCTCGGGGGCAGAGGCCAGGCCCCCTTCCCCGGGACCAGTTTCTCCTCCGGCGTCGTCTTAGACGGCCCCGAGGCCCGTTTTTTTTTTTTTTTGTCCGAGGAGCAACACTGCCACAAGGAGAGGTCAGGGAAGGTCAGACGGAGAAAAAGCAGGGTGCGGCTATCCGAAAGGAACCTTCTGTCACCACTGGGGGGGGCGACATCCCGCAGTGGGGGGCGTGTATTTGTCCTCGACGCGAAGGGTCAGGGTAGAGATCCGTTTCTGCCAAGCCTGTGCCGGTGGATGGTCAAGACGGGGCCAACGCAGGCAAATCGAAGCACACACACACATACACAAAGCACGCACACAGCACACATACACACATACACACAAAACATCATACAAACAGGCACGCGCCGCCCGCCTCTTCGCAGGGGGTCCCTCGGACACGGCCACCGGCCCACCTCCCTCTCGCCACGGTCCTGGCGTACAGTCAACCCTTCTAACCAGGACGCACGATAAGGATGCCAAGGCCTTGGAGGGCCATGCCCACATTTGCGGGCGGGGCGCGGCCAGCAAAAACGGCAAGGATGGGCCGAAGGGGAAGGATGCAAGAGCAACCTTGGAAAGCGGCTCATCCTTACTAGAAGAATAAGAGAACTGCATAATCATGAACTTTTGGCGCTCAAAGCGAATTTCTTGGATCCGCGCTGGACCACCCTCCCTGGCGCTCGGAGCGCGCCAGGGGCGGCGATGGAGGCGCCGCTGGGGGGGTGGCCCAGCAAGGGCCCGAGCAATCCGCGCGGAACGCCACAAAGCTATGTTTATAACCTGTATCTTTTTCGAGCTCTGGCGCCGACCTCCTCCTCCTCTTGCTCCTCCTCCTCCTCCAACTCCTCCTCCTCCTCCTCCTCCTCCTCCTCCTCCTCCTCCTCCTCCTCCTCCTCCTGTTCCTCCTCGAGGATCCTCCTTCTCCTCCTTCACTTCCTCCTCCTCCTCCTCCTCCTCCTCCTCCTCTTCTCCTCCTCCTCCTGCCCCCCCTCTCGATCAGGGCGCCGGGCCGGTGCGAGGGCGCCCCGCACGTGTAGCACGGCAGATCGGCACACTTCGCCTCGTGCAGCTGGCGCCTCCCGCGGCCCGGCCCCGAGCCCCCGCTGCGCCGCGCCGCTGCGCGCGCCGCCGCGGCTGCCGCTTCCTGCAGCCGTCGTCGTCGTCGTCGTCTGCGTCGTCGTCGTCTGCGTCGTCGTCGTCGTCGTCGTCATCGTCGTCGTCGTCGCCGTCGTCGTCGTCGTCGTCGTCGCCGTCGTCGTCGTCGTGGTCGTCGTCGTCGTCGTCGTCGCCGTCGTCGTCGTCGTCGTCGCCGTCGTCGTCGTCGTCGTGGGCGTCGTCGTCGTCGTCGCCGTCGTCGCCGTCGTCGCTGTCGTCGCCGTCGCCGTCGTCATGGTCGTCGTCGTCGTCGTAGCCGCCGTCGTCGTCATTGTCGTCGTCATCGCCGCCGTCGCCGCCGCTGCCGCAGCCGCAGCAGCCGCAGGGGCAGGACTCACGGGCCGGCTCCGGGGGCCTCGGAAGGCCTCAGGGGGGGGGGGGGGGCGGGAGCTGGCCAGTGAAGCTCTGGCCCCTCCTCCTTCTAAACTGGCCCCATGGTATTCGGATACTTCTGGTACCGCCCAGTGGAGACAAGGGGTCGCCCACATGGCCTCACGCCACGCTCACATGACCGTCGGCCCCGATGGTCATCGGCATGTCCCTCTGGACCTCTCCAGAGAATCATCCCGGATACTGGTAATGGTTGCGCACGGGGCCACTCGTCGGCCAGACAAGATCAAGCCGACTTCGTAGCGCGCGAAGAGGGCACATGAAACCTGGGCACGTCTGGAAGTGATGATATCTAGGACGGTTATAACAGGGGCGCAGAAAAGGACCAGGCAAAGCTGAGAGATACAGGCAAGGGGGACGACAACAGCCAATAACTGAGGGACCGCCTCTCTTCCCCCATCTTCGCCCTCGCGCACCGTCCTGGGAGCACGTGTGTGGCTGTCCGTCCCTCCCGTCGTCGTAGTCGTAGTCGTCTGCTGCCCACTCCCCTGCCAGCCCATGGCCGTGTACCGTCTAAGAGGCGGAGGAGGAGGAAGAGGAGGAGGAGGAGGAAGAGGAGGAGGAGGTCGAGGAAGAGGAGGACTTGGAGAACGAACGAACGAACGACTCTGCAGAGGTGCGCCAGCACGGGTCTCGCCCATAATACCGACTAAACAAGCTCGGAACATTCGGCGAGTTGACTGACACTCACATCTAGAGTGCGCCATGGCCCCAACATTGAGAGGTCCACGCGTGGCCTCGTGGCACGGAGCTCCCACCCACCCCCTTTTTAAAGACGGCAGGGCCGAAGGGCAGGGGCAAAACTGGGTGCAGGCAGAATTCGAAGCACTACACTCCCGCCAACGCGTTGGACTGGAAGGAGGTGTGACCGCCCTAAATCGGGCTCGAAACTCCCTAAGGCATCGACAATATTCAAAACGCGAAAGCTCGGGCGGCCCCAGGGTCCGGGAGGAAAACAAAAACTTACTTCGGCCTGGGGGCCAGCCCAAGGAGACTTAAGACTCTGCTAAGAGGGAGGTTCTGACTGGAGGACAGGGAGGAGGAGGGCAGATTCGGCGGCCTAGCTGAGGACATAGAGGAGGGGTCCGCTGAAGTTCTCGACTCGCTCGGCGCAGAGGGAGTAGCCCCAGTCGCGCTCGCTCTGGCCGCGACCGAACTCGTAGGTGCAATCAGGGAAGCCGTCGAGCCAATCTGAGAACCCGCACTCGCTCTCGAGGGGGATGCGGCCGAGGAGGGAGTCGACGGCATACCGTGTCCCTCCCCCAAGGGGGGCGCTGATGCTGCCTCCAAAAACCTCGCTGAGATAGCTCGAATGCGAGCAGCCTCTTCCTCCGATTGGTGCACCACTGGGGCCTGGGTCACCTCTATCGATGACATCGCCTGCGCAGCCCTTCTCACAGGTTGTCGAGCCCGTCGAGATGTATCTGCATCACCCTCGCACCGTGGCTCCTGAAGGGACGCCGCGTTTGTGCTTGCCTCCGAGCTGGACGAGGGAGTCGACTATCACTTGCTCGATCTGCATCGGCTCTACGGCGAGCCACACCTTCACGAACTCGCCCGAGCGGGTGGTCTGCATGCGGCAATGGAGGATATTGCCGGCCAGCTTGGAGTTGTCTGGTTTCTCTTGCTTGATCTGCCGCTCGTACTCCTTCAGGGCCGCGTGGTTGAGCTGGCCTATCTTCTCCCCTTAAGCCAGCAGAGCTCCGTGCAGGGCCAGAAAGACGTGAGGATGAGGAATTCCCAGTTCCTCGAGCTTTGCCACCACCTGGCCTGCCTGGATCTGCCGTGCGTGCTCCTTGCGAAGCCTCGCCCCTTCCTGGCCGTAGAACTTCGCTGTCAACTGCATCGACAAGACTACCTCGTGCTTGCTCGGCATCTCCACATGCCTGAACGCCGCCGCCTCGAGGTGATTGATGGAGAGCTCGCGGCGCAGCGCTAGGCGCATGAGCACAGGGTAGGTGGCTTGGATCCACTCGATCGGCATGTGTTCGGGTCGCTGCACGTCTGCGGGCGCCGAGCCATAGTGGTTGTCCGCCAGCGTCAGTACGTCGCGCCCTCCTGGTGGCGCCGCGCGCTGACCTGCAGCGCCGCCAGGCTGCGCAGCCGATGCTCCGAGGCCGCCCGCGGCGGGGGCTGCTGCCGAGCGAGCTGCTCCTTGTCCCCGACGTCGCCCTGCGCCTCGCTCTCCGCTGCGCGTCCGATCGCCCTGGCCTTGCCTGCCACGCAGCTCTGGTGCGCGCTGCTCTGTCCCAGTACTCGAGGCCCGCTCTGCCAAACTCGACGTCGAAGCAAAGATCAGGTGCTGGAAGGGGCGTGCACTTCTCGTATGTGTTGCTGCAGCGCAGCAAGCGTCTGAAATTCAACTTGAGCCCGAATGGCCTCGGTAAGACGCTCACGATGGTGAGGATGAGCGCTGTCAGGATCAACGCGCGCGGGACAGGTCAGGACCTCGGGGGCCTTGAGGGCAGGGGGGCACGGGCTGAAGTCGGCCATGCAGCGCTTAAGCTCAAGGGACTGGACCACGTGCCTCCGAGCGAGAACATCCGAGGATAACGTCGAGGAGCAATGGAAGCACTGGTTCGTCACTACTAGCTGATGGACGGGCACTCGAGCTTTATGGGCGGGATGATGGCGTAGATGGGCCCTGAGAGCGCCACGAGACTCGAAGACCATATTGCAAAGCTCCCCCGTCTCATTGGGCCACTCGCAGACGTACTCTTGAGGCCCAGGAACCGGTGGAGGAGGAGCCCCAGGTGCAGCAGGAGGGCGTAGAGGCTCATTAGACTCTTGCTCCCAGTAGGCCCTGCGGAGTCCCTTGGGGTCGATGCTGCCAAACGCCGTGGCGATCCTATAATCGGTCAAGATGTTCCTAATCGAGTGCCCCTGGTCGAGAAACTGCCCGCCGTGCGGGGTGACGCGGAGCGTGCGGATATCTTCTTGCATCTGCAATGCCCAAGGGTTCGCACGATGATGTATCCAACCATTCTCACGAAACAAAGGCCGATCCTGTAGAGCGGGAAAATGACCGAACAGGGCCGCAACTGCCTGCGCCGACGCCTCAGGGTAGCGTGCAAGGTTCTGCCGGTATCGAATGCGTCTGACCAGCAACTCCGTACGTGCATTTGCAATGCGCAAGCGCCTCTGGAGCACCCAAGCCTCAGGTGTCCTAGCTCGTTCATGTTCTCCTTCTCTTACCCTGCGAGCGACGCCACGTAGGGCCACTTTAGCGAACCCCAAGATGACCTTGTAGAGCCTGTTGTAATCCTTTTTCCCTAAGATGTTCGTCTCAAGGCCCGAGTAGGCCGCGCTGTGGAGAACCCTCAAGAAGGCCATGCGCTCAAGCTTGAGGGCCGTGTGCTGATTCCAGAACCGACCTAGCTTACACCAGGCCGAACGGGTCGCATCCACTCGAGCTCTGATCTCAGCCCCGCGGCCCCTCGTGGGTTGTTCGACGCCCCCGAGATACTCCGTCTGGGCCTGCGGAACTCCATGAAATCTCAAGATGGACCCAGACAGGACGGCCCTCGTCGCAGTGTACCCTCCAGAGCCCACGAAGACGGGGAGAGCCACCTCTTTGTCGGCGTTCTGGGCGAATCCCCCCTGCTCGGATAACTTGTCATTGAGGAGGGTGTTGGGGGCGGAGGCGAGGGCCGCAGCACGGAGACGGTTGTCGTCAGGAAGCGGATGAGTATGCGAGACATCATCAGCGTAGTCTCTCATATATAAGTCTATGAGCTGCTTGGCGCACGGGCACTCGATCAGGGTCGACGCCTCAATGAGCGGCACCTCGGTCTCGCCAATCCGCAGAGAGTCCGAATTCGTGGCCTGCAGCGCGCGGCTCCAGTCCCCCAGTGGCCGTGCGAACGACCTCGCAAACAGCTCGCACGCATTGCCGTCGCCCATGCCGGCGCCTTGCTGAGGAACATGGTAGGTGGTCTCGTTTCCTGCTCGAATCTCCATCGCTGCTTCTTTGTGCCTCTGTGAGAGAAACTGCTGATCCTGAAGGTCGGGGATGATCGCGCCAACAACATCAGCCAATGTATCATGACTAGTGGACGGGAAAGCGTTGCTCATGTCCTTCTGCGTCTGAAGGTGCAATATTCTCAGCTTCCGGAGCCTCCAAGGGTGCAGGCGCGATGCAGGCTGCGCTCCCTGGCGAGAGCGATGGCGCGCATGCCCGTGTGCGTGGCGCGGCAGCTCGGGCTTCTCGCGACGCGTGAACATGCCTCTATGGCACGCCTTGCCAAAAAGGGCAGAAATAATGGATCAACCGCATCGCTTCTGCCCCTTGCTTGGCATTGCCTTTGGACAATTGGAACGTTCGAAACCAATGCCACCACGAGGGAGTTCGACGCGACATGCCAATCTGGCGAAACAATGCATGCAACCGCTTAGCGAGACGAGGACAGGGAACGTGAGGTCGTGGCCTATCTCCTCGATCTGGATCCGCAGCAGGTCTGCGACCATCGCCTCCTCGGGCCTCGACGGAGGCCGCTCTCAGAATCGCCAGCCATATCTCTCCGGGCGCCGAATGAGACGGCGCAAAGCGACGACGCGCCGCTTTCTCCAAAACCGCCAACGTCTGTGTCCAATCTGGGTACGCCGACGACGACGGATGACCTCTGAGCTGCTTCCAATCGCCATCAGGATCGTCCTGCTCACGCAGTGCCAGCGCGAACTCCGAGGGGGTCTCTGGGCCAGGGGCGAGAACAACCGAGAACCCTTCCTCGCGGGCGCCAGCCTGCACGGTGTCGGTCCACTCGTCAAGGGTCGGCAGGTAGTGTGGCAGCGTATTGAATCGGCGCCGACGGACCCCGTGATATCTTGCACCCACCTGAAAAGCCAACTTCCACACGGTACTCGAATGACCACGGTCAGCAGCATGCTGATCTTCTCGTAGATGCGGTCAACATTCTCACGATCGAGGCGACATCTCTCTCGACGTGTCTCTCGATCACACCGACGAATGGCCACGCGATCTTCTTCAGTGAAGCAGTTGCGGCCCAGGGTGCGACGCTTGAGCAGAAGCTCGTCTCGACGCTGTCGGTACTCTGCGGTGGGCCCAGTACTCGTTGCTGCTCGGCAATCCTCAAGGGCTGACTCGCGAACGTCATGAACCAGGTCCATCCACGTCGCAGGCGGGTCATCCAGACGGGAGCTGCTTCTCCATGTAGTAGCATGAGCCTCGCATCGCCTCTCAAGCTCTCCGATCAGCCCCAGTGAGCCTTCGTCGCTGAGCAACTTCGCCATGCAGTCGTGGTCCCAGCGCGGCTCCAGCTCAGTGTCGGGTACATCGAAGTGCAGCTTGTAGCGTAGCCTCCACAGCAGAGGGAAGTGGTCCTTCGGCAACGCGTGCGGATTTTTTGTTTTTGAAAATCTCTCATAGCTCCCCCCATCGTGCAGCAAGAAACCGTGGACGAGATGACCCCAGTCGGGGCCCAAAAGTGATCAGGATGCGACGTGTGCTCGCTCTCCTGTCCGAAGTACGTGGGGCCAGTGGCGTAGAAGGAGTCCACCACCGCAAGCCCCTCCATGGACATGAGTCTCCATAATTCTTGACTGGTGAAGTTCTCTGCGCCTGTGTTGTGGGTGCCGAGGAGTACATCATCTGCCGTCAGCTGGACTGCGCCTCCGCCTGTCGCGCGCCTGCCGAACTCGCAATTCGAGTCAGCTCCTATCACGACGAGGCACCTGGCGGGGGCACTCTGGATGGTCTTCTGTGTCCAGCTGGCCAGTCGTGTGACCGACGACTTCCAATGATTCACCTGCATGCGCTGAGAGGGGGGGAAGTAGGCGACTATAGCGAATATGTAGAACGAGTTGTTCCGAAGCCTCACCCCTCCCGCACGTCCCGCCAAGTCACTCGGCGGCTCGTATGTCTGCTGGATATGGCTGCGTCTGAATACTCTCTTGCGCAGGAACAGATTGCAGCCCGCCGACTTGTTAGTGAATCTGCCTTTTTGCCATCCGAAGTCGAGCACCATGTGTTTGGCACTGTGCTGTATCGCGACTCCGTCCCCAGGGCGCCTTTTTCTCTGCGTCGCTGGGCACATGATCAGGTCCGCGAAACCAAGACGAGAAGAAATGTCGTGTGTACGCCATGAACCCGACATCGAAAGAGGATTGCAGAGTACGGTTTTGCAACAAAGAGGCCCACATGGTGGGTTGGAGCGGTACGCAGGCGAGGTCTGTCCTGCGCGGGTCAGAAGCAGGGGGCCCGCAAACTCCCTGGTCTGGGCAAAGGGGCTTGGACTTGGAGGAGGGAGAGGAGGAGGAGGAGGAGGAGGAGGAGGAGGAGGAGGAGGAGGAGGAGGAGGAGGAGGAGGAGGAGGAGGACAAGGAGGACAAGGAGAAGGAGGAGAAGGAGGAAGAGTTGGGCACTCCCTGTCTGGAGCCCCTGGCCCGCTCCACGTCAAGAAATTGACCTTCCCTGTCTTGAGCCCCCGAACCGCTCCACCTCCTCTTCCTCCTCCTCCAGCCTGGGGCCTCCATCATTCCCCTCCTAACTCCTTCCTCCCCACTCGCTTTCCCTCCTCGTTCCTCCTTCCTACCCTTCGCCCTGTCTCTCCCGTCCTTCCTGCGCTCTCTTCGCCCTCCATCCTCCCTCATCGCTGGATCGTCATTCCGCTTCTCCCCTCGCTGGCCAGAAGCACGGAGAGCTGCGGTGCGTGTTGATTCCGAGAAGGAAGCGCGAGATGCTGCTGCGAAACGGAGGGAAGTGAGACAACAGCAGCAGCAGCAACAGCAACCACAATCAGTTTAAGACTGTTCGCTCGTATCTGCTCGCGTGTCACTCAACACGTATATCCCAAACCCTCGATACCCGCCATCGTCGTCTTCGAGGGTGCCCCCTTGGGGGTACATCTGTCTAACCTGCAACGTGTACTTCGTGCAGTCCCTGAGGCAGGGGAAGAAAGGACGGATGGAAGGACGGGACAATGGGCAGCGAGGAGGATGGAGCACCAGAGAGACTAGGAAGAGAGGGGGCTAAGAGAAGAAAACACGATGCAGAACCAAGCGGGCAGATCGGGCGGGTACCCCCACCAAGCGGGTCGGGAAAGAGGGTCCAGGAGGCCAGGTCGAGCAGGCGGGTTGCCGAAGCGTGCGTCCTGCATGAAATCGCGAGGAATTCTTGAGCGACAGCTCGATTCCAAATCAATCACGAGCAACCACAGCGAGATCGTGACTCCGAGGGCGCGGCGTCTGAAGCACGTGCGAAGAAATCACACGCAAGAGCGCGATTCCTGGATCTATTGTGGAGATGTCCCGCGCAAGAGCGCGATGCGGGAATACATTGTGCGGAAGTATGAGGCGGGAGCCGCTGTTGTTGCACTTAGGGGGCCAACGACGCAATTTCATGAGGAAAACTACACCTGTTTAAAAACAGGGTGCGGGCCCCTGGAGGGGCACTTCAATGAAACAAACATCTGTTAACAGAGGGGATATCAACAATACGTATTCTTCAATCGCGAGAGCTCATCAACACCAGCAACACCACCATCACCACTGACAACAACACCAGCAGCAACACCAACAGCAGCGACAACAGCAACGGCGACAGCAGCAACAACAACAGCAGCAGCAGCAGCAACCACAGCCAACAACAACACCAACACTACCACCAGCATCAACACCAAGAACAACACCACCACCAACAACAAAAACATCATCAGCAGCAGCATCAAGAGCATCATCAACACCACCGCCAACATAACAACACAACCGCCGCACCACCAGCAACGACAACACCACCACCAACAACATCAACAACATCAGCAACATCAGTAACAACATCGAGGACAACATCAACACCAACAGCCACATCTACAGCAATCTCAACAACAATAGCAGCAACAGTACCAGCAACACTGGCACCATCAAAACAGAACAACAGCCGCAACACCACCACCAACATCATCATCATCCTCATCACTATCAATCATGTTGCCCATATGCTTTATGAGTTTAGTTGGAGTGTGCATCCATCATGATGCGTCCGATATTCTGTTGCCCAGATCACCCGCCCGAGGAGGTCTTGTCAACACCTCTTCCAAGACACTTCAACATCTCCAGCCAAAACGGCACATCGCCTTCGCGGCCCCATACGCATGCCCTTCGTGGCCCCGCTGTCGCCCTTCGTGGCCCCCTTCCTGCCTTTCGCGGCCCCGCTGTAGCTCTCGCTCTCGCTTTCGCTCGTCGTCGTCGTCGTCGCCGTCGCCGTCGCCGTCGCCGTCGTCGTCGTCGTCGTCGTCGTCGTTTTCGTTGTCGGTCCCCTGTCCGTCCCTCTTGGGGTCGGGTTGCCGCCGGTCAGCGCTGCCGCTGGCCAGGCCGACGGTCCGCGGCCGCCCCGCCGTTTGCCGGGGGCCGGCCTGCAGGGAAGAAAGACATAACCCCCAAAGGGGCACGATCGAAGACGAAGAGGGCGGATATCGAGGGCTCAGGAAATACACGTGGAATAATGACACTCGAGCAGATAAGAACAAACAATCTTAAAATGATTGTTGTTGTTGCTGGGGGGCCGGATTCGGCGCAACCCCGAAACACCTGAGCGTGAGCCTAACTTCCAAAGGAGACGCAGACGGCACCGAGGCGAGAGCGCCAGTGCGGATGTAGGGTGTCCCGCAGTAGTGATCGTCTCATGATCGAGGTTCGACATGGTTTAAGGAATCCTCAGGGCATCTGGGAGTCTTGTACACAAGCGGACGGAATATCGAGCGGGAATGTCGCTGTTTGCAGGGGGGGCCGCTTGCGGCACCGAGGCGGGAGAGCCTGTCTTGAGCAACCAACCAAGAAAGTATCGAGACGGAACGGCAATTGCATGGGAACGCCGGCTTTCGGCGGCGAGCGAGTGCCGAGTACAGAAGGAGAGTGTATCGAGCGGGACCGTTGACCTCGGCGAAGTGCCGAACGGGAGCGTTGTTGTTGTTGTTGTTGTTGTTGCTGTTGTTGTTGTTGTTATTGTTGCTGTCGTTGTTGTTGTCATTGTTGCTGTCGTCGTTGTTGTTGCTGTTGTTGTTGATGTTGCTGTTGTTGATGATGTTGATGTTGTTGGGGGGCCGGTTTCGGAGCACCCCGAAACGCCTGAGCCTGTGAATCGATTTCCAAAGGAAATGCAGCCAGCGCCTGGGCGAGAGCGCCAAAGCGGATTCAGGGTGTCCAGCAACAATAATTGTTTAATCCTTCGGATCCAACGACAACAACCAACAACACCACCACCAATGACAACAACAACTACAACAACAATAACAACAACAAGAAGGCGCCAAGCCGGACTGCGCGAGCCCTTAGGGGCATCTAGCAGGCGGGTTGCCGAAGCGTGAGTCCTGCATGAATCGCGAGGAGGTTTTGAGCGATAGCGTGATTCCCAAGTGAATCGCGAGACAAACCAGGGCGAGAGCGCGATTCCTGAGTGTCGAGGGCGCGGCGTCTGAATAAATTGCGAGGATGTCCCACGCGAGAGCGCGATATACCTATTACATAGCAAAGCCTTGGTAACCATCCTCTTCGTCTTCGATCGTACCCCCTGCGGGCTGTATCTTCCTGACCTACCATATGCATTTAGTAAATCCCCTAAGGCAGGGGAAAGCGGACGGATGGCAGGGGGATGGAGAAGGATGGAGCACGAGCCACATAAAAAGGAGCTAGGAGCAGAAACACGTAGCAGAACCTTACGGGCAGACCCTAGCGGGCCAGCAAGACGGGCCCATGCTGCCTCGTCGAGCAGGCGGGTTGCTGAAGCGTGCGTCCTGCATGAATCGCGAAGAGGTCTCGAGCGATAACGCGATTCCCAAGTAAACCGTAGGAAAGAACAAAAGGAGAGTGCTATTCCCGAGTGGCGAGGGCGCGACGTCTGAATAAATTGCGAGGAAGTCCCGCGCGAGAGCGCGATCCCTTTATACGCTGTGACGAAGTCCCGCGCGAGAGCGCGACTTTGGAATACATTGTGAGGAAATATGAAGCGGGAGCCGTTGTTGGGGCCAACAAAACAGTTAGGACACAAAAACGATCCCTGATGAAAAACCAGAGTGCAAGCCCCGAGGGGGGCACTTCAACAGAAAATGCACAATGCGCACCAGTGAAAGGGGGGATCAGCAACAAGTATTCTTCAATCGTGAAAACTTAGCTACAGCAGCAATAACAACAGCAACAACAACAATAACAACGTCACAGAAAAACGGGAGAAGAGAAGGCGGAACCACCGCGTTGACTGGGACCACCCCGTTGACTGCATCGCACAACACTCCACTGGCAAAACCTTCACGGCAATCCGGAACGGCCGCTCCGATTGCGCACCCAGAGCCATAGCGGGTCAGACAATCTTACGATCGGAATCGAAACGATGGGTTGTGTAAACATGCACCGGTTTCGAGTCGCACGCAGTTTGGCCGACTCGGGTCGCGCAGCTGTCCCCGCGCTCGCCATCGTGAACTGAATTCTAAGCCCTTCTCCATCTAGTTCGGGCGTGCCTGGTGGGGTCGGGGGGGCCACGGTGTCGTAGGGTACAGTCGGAGCGTTGACCCAAGGAACCCTAAATAAGGAACGAGGCCCCTCAGAAACACAAGTTGGACTTCGTTTCCCCGTCGAAAACCAAAGCAAAACCCAAGGCAAACTGTGAAGCAATCAAGGAACACGGAGCCCCTCCCCAACGAAAAGGGTTCCTTCTTCAGGGCCTCGACTGTAACGGGAGAGGGGCTGGCGGGGCGAGGGTGGGGGCATGGGAGCGGGGGAGCGCCCTGGGCTCCACGGTGGCGCCAGGTCCAGGCTGTGGGCAGCACGCACAACGTTTTTCCTTGTTAGCTTGTGATACTTAGCGGGCGGGCGCGCCAGAGGCGGAGTCTTGGCCAGAGTCTTGTCTGGCTTTGAGCTTCAGAATCTGGAGCAGACCCTTACCACGATCCGCGCTGACGCGGCGTCAGCGCGGATCGTGGTGTAGTCAGCCTGCTGCAATACAGAACACAGCATCGAGAACGAAGCCCAGTCTCTGGCACCAGAACCGCCTGGGTGCACGAGGAAGGCGAGAGGAAACACAGCGGAATGAATTAAGAAACAGCGAGCCCCTTACGTTAGGGATGAAAAAAACGGGCCTACCCTGGGTTACAAGTGCGTGGTCTGTAAACCTCCTGGGGATCCCCAGAGCCTAGAGCCGCCAGGACGCGGCACATCACGCAGGGTTTACCCTGTCAGCCCACAGGAGTTTCAGCGCACAGCGCCTCGTAAACCAGGGTAGGGGCGTTTTTTTAATGCCCTTGATTACGAACACAAAGCGGTCCTTCTTGCAACATCTCGACTGTATCACACAAAGTGTTGAGTGTCGACAGCCTGCCGCGAACACATGACAGGTGCCGCCCGGCGATGGCGCCATCGAAGCGCACCGCCGGCACAATGCGAGTCGCGCGTGGCCGCTGCCCCGGCATTCCTGTGATAATCGTCGATGCAAGCGTAGTGGAACATGTGATCGCACGGCAGCCTCTTCACGTACCTGGCGACCTGCAGTGGACGCTTCCCCGCGGCGCTTGGGCGCGAGAGCCGTGGGGAGGAGAGGAGGCGAAAAGACCATGCGCAGGGACTCTAAGAGGACGAGGAGGCAACGGCTGACACGAGGTGAATGAGCAGGATCCAAGCTGGGAGTGGCATAGCAAGTACGAAGCAGAGCAGCGAAGGACGGGCCTGCGGGGGCAGGAGTGCTGACGGGGGGCGCCGAGGAACGGGGACAAACCAAAAGCATAACGATAGGAACCGGAGGGGGGCCGGAGGCGGCGGCGAGGCTGGCGAGGACGGTGACGCTCGCGGCGGCGCCGCTGCAGATTCCAGGACGCCCCTCTGGCTGCCCGTCGGAGGCCCCCCGCGCGCGCGACGCGTCGCCTCCCGAGGAGGGGGGGCACGGGCAGGGCCCGAGAGCTCCCAGAGCGAGAGAGGCGCGCGGCGCCCGCAAGAGGGACTACCCACCAGACCACCTCAACCCGACCCGAAAGCCCGAATCTCGGGTTGGGGGGGGTAAGGGTTCCACATGTGTTTTTTGTTCGATGCTTCCCGACCCCCCCCCCCACTGGAAATCGAGGGTCAATCTGAGCCTTCGGGTCGGGTCGGGGTGGCTTGGTGGGTGGGGAAAGAGGGGCTCGCCGCCACGGGGGCTCGACCCCTCGCGGGCCGGGGCGGCTGCGGCGCGCGCGAGGGGCCTGCGCCTGGCAGCCGGCGGCCTGCCCGAGGCACGCGCCAAAGAGAGACTAGGGGGGACCCCTGCGCTCGTCGAAATTCTCGCGGATCCCAAATCTTCCTCCTTTCCGTGAACCGTTAAGTACCTCTTGCGCCAATTGAAAACTTAGCATGTGTATCACATTTGCAGCTCGGGCAAGGCGCCTGGCGAGGCTCAGTGCGAACGCCCCTGGCGCGGACGGCTGCACTGGCTGACACCACAGGCCTCCAGTCGCTGAGGACGCCGGCCGCTCACTTCCTGCCAACAGCCCTCGTTCAGCGGCGCGGGCCTTCTCTCGGACGGCCTGGCTTCGCGGGGCCCGACGCCTGGACTGTACTCAACGTATTTGCCGTCCCCCTCTTCCTGCCTCTGCTCATGCTTTCGCTCCAGATCCTGCCTCTGCTCCTCCTCATCGTCCTCCGTCTCCGCCTCGCCCCTCCACCCTGCCCCTCCTGCTCCTCCCCCTCCTCCGCCTCCTCCTCCTCCTCGACGTCGTCGCCCTGCTTCTCCCGTCCTCTATCTCGCTCCTCCTGCTTCCTCTCCATCTCCCCGTCCCCCCAAAGCCTCCTCCACCACCTCCTCCTCATCCTGTCCGATCCGACCCCGGTTTGTGGTTATTTTTCTTCGACCTCTTCTTCCTCCTCCTCCTCCTCCTCCTCCTCCTCCTCCTCCTCCTCCTCCTCCTCCTCCTCCTCCTCCCCCTCCTCCTGCTCCTCCTCCTGAGGGAACAAGGAGGCAGATCCAGCTTTGGCGACGAAGTGCCTCCCAGGAGGCCCAGAGAGGCGACAGTGATGGACCTGGTATCGGTACCAGTGCCTGGGGTCGTTGTATCGGTGCCCTTTCTTCCTCTGCCTCTGACCCCCCGGACGATAGGGCCCGCGCCACGCTGTGCGAGCTGAGGGGGAGGAGGAAGAGAAGGAGGAGGAGAAGGAGGAGGAGGAGGAGGAGGAATAGGAGGAGGAGGAGGAGGAGGAGGAGGAGGAGGAGGAGGAGGAGGGGACCACCGCCCTCCCCATACCCCCACCCCCGCCTCCGCCCTCCCGCGCGGGCCTCCATCGGCTCGCCGCAGATCGGGCACGGGGTGGCCGCGCGGCCGCCGGCCTGCGTCGAGAGGCCCCCTCTCGAAGACAAGTGACCGATCGATCGGTCGACGGCGCTGCAGTCAGGGATGGACAGACCTCCCTTTAGTAAAACGTGGTTTAGTGAAAACGACCTGAGGCCCAAACCTGGCGGGCGCAAGCCTGGAAAAGAACGGCCGCGGCGCCCTCTCGAGAACCGAAAACGGACAATTCACCAATCGACGTGTCACTTTTGGGGATCTGTCCACACCCGATGCAGGGGGGCGACAGGTGACAGCACCAGAACAGCAGCACGAGATTGCGAAGGCAGGCTGGCCTGGCCGGACTGGGCCTGAAGGAAGTATAGCCTTGATCCGGTCGCGGTGGACGCGTGCGCGTGGTTGTACTCCGCCGAAGGCTGGGCGGGGGCTTGTTATGAAATGAAACTCTCCTGGCGAAAGGCCCAATCATATGCAATTGTGAATACCGTGTTGTGGCACCACTCTCAGTGGAACTCCCTATAGGGCCACGAACAGTGTGAGCGGTGCGCCGAAATGAAACTGCGCCGCCATGCGGACCCTGCCACTGGGGCCCTCGGTGGAGCTCCAACGAACTCCACGGGGAGCTTCGGTGGAGCTCCGTGTGGGGCCACGAATCGAGTGAGTGGTGCGCCCAAACCTTGCCAATGGGGCAGTCGGTGGAATTCTCTATGGGGAACCGTGTGAGCGGTGCGCCAAAATGAAACTGCGCCGCCATGCGGACCCTGCCACTGGGGCCTCGGGTAGAACTCCCTTTGGGGCCACGAACCGTGTGAACAGTGTGCCAACAATGTCGCGACGCCATGCGAACCATGCCGCGAGGGCCTTCGGTGGAGCTCCCTATGGGGTCACGAACCGTTTGAGCGGTCTGCCAAAATGGGGGCGGCGCAGGCGCAGCAGCGGAGTGGGCAGCGGGCGTCGGGGGGGCCCTTCTGCAGTCGTCGGAAGAGCTGTCCGGGTCGTCCGGGGACGGCGTGAGGTGGCCGACCGAACCCAGCAAAAGGCGGCTTGGTGCGGAAAGCCGTCTGGGGGATCGCCCACCGCTCCGAGAGGAGCGGTGAGAGAGAGCGAGCGAGCGACAGAGAGAGAGAGAGAGAGAGAACTTTCCGAGCGAAAGGTCCAACCATTTGCAGCAGCGAGTGCCGCGAGGCAAGCTAGAAGGAGAAGGCTGGGGACGAGCAAAGGACGGACTGCGGCGCATGTCCTGGCGAAGGCAGCGCCGTGCGATTCCTGCCACTGTCGCCTTCGGTGGAGCTCCCTTTGGGGCCACGATCCTCGTGAGGGGTGCGCCGAAATGGGTGGGGGGGACGCATGCTGACTCTGCCACTGCGGCCTTCGGTAGAGCTCCCTATGGGGCTACGGTCCTCGTGAGGGGTGCGCCGACATGGGCGGGGGTACGCAAGCGAACCCTGCAACTATGGCCTCCGGTGGCACTCCCTATGGGGCCACGAAGCGCATGAGGGGTGCGTTTAAGCAGAAACATGGGGAGGGCTGAGGCAGGGATAGGAGGAGGAGGAGGAGGAGGAGGAGGAGGAGGAGGAGCAAGAGGAGGAGGAGGAGGAGGAGAAGGAGGAGGAGGAGCCGGCTTGTTGGGGAAAAAACGTTGTATATGTAGAGGGAGAGGGAGAGGGAGAGGGAAAGAGAAAGAGAGAGAGAGAGAGAGCGAGAGACAGACCGACCAGCCGGCAGACAAAAAAACAGACAGGCAAACACAGAGAGAGAGAGAGAAAGAGGGACAGAAAGAGAGAGAGAGAGAGAACAAGAGACAGAGAGAGAGAGAGACAGAACGGGGGAGAGAGAGAAAGCGAGAACGTGATCTTTGTTTTGTTTCTGTCTCTCTCTCTCTCTCTCCTCTCTTTACATATGTATGTACGCCCTTGAACCATCGCGCACACGCGCTTCGCGCGCGCTCAGGTTCTGGCGAGGGCGGGGGGGAGGCGCTGGAGGAACTTGACACGCTATCATGCACAAAGTACTCGTACCCATTCTCACCTTCACCCTCACTCTGGATCAAATTCTCGTACTCCTCAACATCAGACTCATCATCATCATCATCATCATCATCAGCAGCAGCATACGAATCAGCATGATCTAACTGATCGCATTACCATGCTCAGCAACAGCGATCACGTGGAGAGCATCATTGGCCCAATGCTGCTAGCGATGCTGGCACGTGAAATTCGCGTCTCGTAATGACGGTCATCATTAACATTCTCATCACCATCCAAATCAGCAGCATCCTCATCCCCATCCAGCTAATCTTCTTCATTCCCACTCCCATCACCATCATCATCAAAACCGCTACGAAACATCAGGAGCCAATTGTCATATTCGAACCTTTTCGAGGACAGTTCCAAGACCTGTTCCCAGACCTGATTTCATGCAGGTCTGGGAGCCCCCAGTGCAGCAGGCGGTCTAAGGGATAAGTGGGCGGGGTGTGCCCGAGCCCAAACAGTCAGCATGCTCAAATGCAATATCTTATTGCGGAGCCTCCTCTCTCCACTTGCCCCCCCAAGCTGAATCTCCCCAGAACCGTTCCAGGATGTTTTTTTCCTAATGGGCCCCCTCCAAGACAACAGGCGCTCTCGGGGATAAGTGGCGGAGTGCGCCCGAGCCAGAAAGTGCGTAGTTTCCCAAAGGCAATATCTGATTGGGGAGACTTCTCTCTCGGCTGGGCCCCCCAGCTGAATGTCGGAAACCAAATTGAAAATCACATCCGAACGGTTCCAGGGCGATTTCCCATTTCGGCTATGCCCCCCCCCCGCCCGCAGGAGGCGAACTCGGAGGCATGTGGGGGTGCGCCCGTGCCAAGAAACATGTTCCCCTCTCGGCTGGGTTCCCGCCAGGATCCCTGGAACGCCCCGAATGGAACCGTTCCAGGGTGTTGTTCCATCTGGGCCCCCGCAGACACTTTCGGGTGCATCACAGCACCCACACACGTATCATTGTCCAAATCAAATGTCTAATTCGGGAGCCTTCTCTCTCGGCTGCGCTCCCCGCCAGAATCTCCGGGATTGCCGACAGAACCCCAAGAGCCATTCCAGGGTGTTTGCCAGCTGGGCCCCCCCCCAATGCAGCAGGCGCCCCCCCACTCCAGAGAGACCCTTCTCTATTTGGAGCATTCCAAAGGAGAAACCATCCCGGAACCATTCCAGCTTTTTCTCCATCGGGGCTCTCACAAATATACAGGAGGCTTTCTCGGGGATAGGCGGGGGGCCGTGCCCGAGCAAAAAGAACACCAGCCCTTTCCGAAAATGTGCCATGATTGGTGGGCCTTCTTTCTCGGCTGGGAGGCCAGATGGAGAAAAGCATCCCCGAACCGTTCGAGGGCGTTTTTCCATCTGCGGCCCCCCCCCAGCATCTGGCCATCGCTCGGACGTCCATTCCCTGTGCTTTTTTCGGTTTCGTGCGTGGCTTTTTCGCCAAATGATCAAGGATGCTCCTCGATGGTCCTCGCCGAAGGAAAAATGCACACGTCCGAGCGATGCCAAGGCATAGGATACCCTCTCGGGGATAAGTGGTGGAGCGCCTGCTGCACTGGCGGGGGGCCAAGATGTAATTCACCCCGGCGTGGTTCTGAGACGATGTGCGTTCATCTGGCTCCCAAGGAGGCCTGGCTGCTGCAAGCAGCTTGAAGAAAACAACCGCCTGTAAGCAGCCCAATGAGGGCCTTCTGCAAGCAGCGAGATGTTAAGCAGCCCGGTAAGGCCTCCTGTAAGCAAGCAGCCCAAGAAGGCCTCCTGTAACCAGCCCAATAAGGCCTTCTGTAAGCAGCTCAACAAGGCCGCGCTGTGCAGCATGCAGCCCAATTGGGCCCTCCTTCAGCGGGCCCTCCTTCAGCGGCCACGAAGGTTTCACACGGGCGTCCTAGATGGAAACAAAAAACGTGCAGGAACTCGTCCAGGGTGTTGCTGAGACTGGAAGCGCAAAGGACCGTTCCAAGTGACTCTTTCCGAATCACCCTGGCCGGTTACAAGCGCAGACTGTTTCCGAATCACCCTGGAACCGTTCCAAGTGACTTAGGAACCTGAAGCGGGCAAATCTGCGTTTCAGCGTATATAGGTACTACTTGTATTAGCACAGCTCTCTCTCTCTCTCTCTCTATATCTAGGTATATATATATATATATATATATAAATAAATAAACGTAGCACCCCGCAGATGCGGATAAGAGTGAGGGGGCGGTGGGGACGTCGGCAATCTGCGAGACTCCGGAGAAGCCCGCCGCGGGCGGCAAACTTTCGCAACTTATACACCGAGGCAGTGTGGATCGGTCGCGGGTGGGTCGCGGGAGGGTCGCGGGTGGGTTGCGGGTGGGTCGCGGGATGGGTGGCGGGTGGGTCGCAAATGGGTCGCGGGTGGGTCGCGGGGTGGGTCGCGGGTGGGTCGCGGATTGAGTCGCGAGTGGGTCGCGGGGTGGGTCGCGGGGTGGGTCGCGGGGGAGACGACAACAAACAACAACAACAACAACAACAACAACAACAACAACAACAACACCAACACCAGCAACAACAACAACAACAGCAACAGCAACAGCAACAACAACAACACCAACAACAACAACAACAGCAGCAGCAGCAGCAACAACAACAACACCAACACCAACAACAACAACACCAACAACAACAGCAACAACAACAGCAACACCAGCAACAACAACAACACCAACAACAATCATACTATTGATTTTCTTTGGTTACAGTACAGCTTTAATTGGTTTCGGAATTATTTCTGTAGTGCGCACTGTATGCAATTACATCAATAATTGTGTCGGGAATTAATAATGTAGGCTCGAAATATTGCCAAGAGCATTTTGGTTATGCATTTCTATTGAGTTGGGAAGTTAGAAAGGAATTCGATAAGGAATTTCCTGAGTTAGAAAGGAATTTGAATACCAGAGATAGTTCTGAACCTCAAAGACAATCGAGTCCGAATTGCCCGAGGAAGCCAGGGCCAGGAAGGGAAAAAGGAGTTCGAAAGGAATTCGATAAGGAAATTTAAGAGT